ATCGGAAGACTCAGTATTGTTAATTCCCCAGAAATTGTTTTGTAGATTCCTCAGTCCGAATTAAAATCCCAGCAGCCTTTCTTTGTAATTAAAAAATTAATCAAAATTTAGAATCAAACTGATTCTAAAATGTGTATGAAAGCATAAAAGGACCTAGAAAAGCTAAAAGAGTTTTAAAAAGAATAAATTTGAGGACTCACACTACCTAGTTTTGACACTCATTATAAAACAACAGTAATGAAGACTGTGTGAGTGTTATATAAGAAGAGGCTCCCAGATCAATGGAAGGGGGCAGGCAAAGTGGTGACATTTAAACTAGATTTTGAAGAATCAAACTGAGACTTGAAGCCTATTTATTATGTGCCAAGGTACTTTACACAGACTATTTTAATTAACCTCAATTTTATTTTCACAACCTGTCAAGTATAATTTTAATACTACTATTTTAGTGATCTGATTGATCAAATAGTTTAATGTAAGTTTACAAAATTAACATGTGGGGGAGCTGGAATTTGAATGTAGAGAGCTCCAGAATCCTAGAGAGCTCCAGAATTTGAATGTAGAGAGCTCCAGAATCTAGCTCCAGAATCCTTAGGGTTTCTAGGAGCAGAGTGATGGGAAGATGGAACAGAGGCTGCATCCAGAGGAGAGAGAAATGACATTATAGAACAGGTAGAGGAAAATGAACAAAGGTCTCTCACTGTCTGGGTCAGGAAAAACAAAAAGACCACAGAACATAATTCTAATGGTGGAAATACTTGCATATGTCAAAAGAGGGAAATTTAAAGGAAAAGAGCATTGGGGTATACAATATTCCTTCTGCTTCTGTCCCTTAGGCCTAGCCAGCTTGAAAATGGCTTTATATCCTCCTGTTGCAGAATTTTAGTGAAAAGACCATAGCAAAATCTATCTATAATAAACTTTATCATGATTTTTGAATCACTCAATATAACAGGGTATCCAAGATACTGGAGGTATCACTCTAGGGAGATTTCCAGTAATATAAAATATAAACAATTTTAATAGGTCTGTGTGATGGAATGAAGAACACAAGAAAGGGTAAGTATGTGAGTAAATATGAATACTTAGAAAACTATTAAAGACTACTGACTGTTTGGACAACAAATAAAAACTTATTTGTCCAATGGAACATTAGCAAGCATGATGCTAGCAGAGGCTTGATTAGTCCCTGCACTCTGGGCTTGTCCTCTTGAAATGCTCCATTTTGGAACCCTGAGCTATCGTATTAAAGAGATCCAGTTACCCTCCTTACATGGTTATGTAGAGAGAAAGAGACACCCAGCCTGCTCCCCAGATGTTCCAGCTATCTCATCTGATGCACCAGACACAGAAGTGAAGCATTCTTGGATTTCCATCCCCAGTTGAGTTGATAAATGCAAATATATGATTCACTCCAAGCTAGCTCAGCAGAAGAATCACTCACCTGAGCCCAGCCAAGACTGCAGAATAACGAGCAAATAAACGCAATGGCTTATTATACTACAAAAGATAACTAACAGACCTTTTAGTAAGGCAAACAGATTACTCTGTGTGTGTGTTTCAATTACTTCTCATATGCCAGGTCTATGCAGTATCAGGAAAAAATTACTGTATAATGTTAGTTACAATCTAACTATGTAACAATATAGTTACATAGTTAGCTATATTATTAACTATGTAACTCATAGTTAAATCTCATTCTCAAACAATGAGAACATCACAAACCACTAGGTTATTTCAATCTATTTTTTTATTCAGTTATGTATAAATAACTCTGTAATAAAACATTGATTACAATAGATTACAACATAATATCAACATTTTCTACTGCTTGTCTTGTTAAAAAACATCTCATTTATGAAATCATTTGGTTGGTTATGAAACATTACCAACTGTTAAAATGGAAGGAAAATGCATCTTAAAAGTAAAATGTTTTTATATGTGGAACTAAGATGGGTTGTTTATAAAGACATATTGTGTGGCTTCATTCTTTTTTATCTTTATAAACATTCATTCCTTTACCTTCATCCTTTTCAAAGGATTATTCATCTCTCGCTGGAATGAAGCTGCTCTTCCTGAAAGGAAGGTCTGAAAGGCAACAGCCAACAAATTTTCATACTTTTCAAGTAGTGTTTTATCTTCAGGAGGATAAATTCGCCTACAATAAAATCAGATAAACCAGCTTGTTTAAAAAAAGCTATCACAGCACAAGAGTTAAGGTCAACTACATAGATAATTCTTGACCATCTACTCAGTCAGTCACTTTACTAGGTGCTAGAAATAAAGATGAATATAGTTACAAGAAATCCATAAATTTTCATTTGTTACCAATACAAATTGAAGTTTATCTAGAGAATTATCATTAAACAATACAGTTCCAGAAGGCACAGTATAAAGGTTTGGTCAAGGGGAGGTCATTGAAGAAGAATCGCAATTGGGCATATTGAGAAATATAGAACTTTACTGGAGAGAATTTAGGTGATGAGGGATAATTTGAGAAGTTTTAGACTCAGTGTGATTATTGATGTATACAAGAATGTAGGGATTAATCCTAATGATCCTTTGAGGGGTGGTGGAATTTGTCTCTCTGGTGGAGAGAATTAGGTAGACGTAGGGTGAGAGGAATGTGTTCTCATCATCACTGTTGATAGTGTTAAGGCCGGAAAGAACATCTTACCAGGAGTGCGGGAAGCTCTATGACATCAAATCCTCCTAATTCTGCTGAGTCAGTGTCAAAGCTTGGGAGGAGGGGCTGTCTTTCCAAGAACACAAAGAGCTTAGGGGGTCCCCTTTTCTCTTGTCAAAGGTGGTGATACTGTGGAGGAGGTCCAGTTCTGTACAGTCCAAACCCCTTTCTATTGTCTCGTACCTGCCTCCTCCAAACATTTTCATTATTTGCTTGGTTCCTGATATATTTGAACTTAAAACAAAGTACAGCAACCACTCTGAACTGACAGAAAGAATACTAAGAGATCTGAAACCTGACTTTTTCAAAATAGTGTATTATAATTTAATAAGGTCACATGATAACAGCCTGAAAAGACTTCACACAACCACCCCAAGAGCTCTCTCCAAGTCTGAACCATCTACTTGCTATCTTTTCTTTCTGGAAATAAATTAAACAAAAAGCACTTTCTCAGAATGAAATAAATAGTGCTTAAAATAAGCTTAAAAGTTAAAAAATGCAGGCACTTCTGTTTTGACACTTCACTTCTTCAATCTATTAAAAAACAAAAGCACAGTTACCTGTAATTCCCCATGTGTCGATTTTCATGTTCTTCTTTCGAGATCTGCTTCCGAACCTGAGCGAGTCTCTCCTTCTAGAAATGAAGAAATTTTACAAATAAAACATGACAAATGAATTATGCAATTCAAATTGCAGGTACATTTTTAAATTTTTCATACCAACTCTTCTTTCCGCCTCTCCAACTGATGTCTCTGCTGTTCTGAGTCTGAGGAACCTGGTAAAAGCCTTTTGATTGAATTTTGACCATAAAGCCTCCTTTGAGCCTCAGCTTTTTGTTTAGCCAAGTTTCTCCTTTTATCACTGGTCCTAAAATATAGAACACAAGACCATATTCAAGAATTCAAATAAGCTCTAACCTTATTCCTGTGAGAATCAGCAGAAGAGGGGACACAGTGGGGATAAGAATCAGTTTTTATTAAATTTATATATTCACATATGTTATATTCACCTAGTCATTCAACAAATATGGATCTCCATACAGTAAATAGAAGTTCTGAAGGTAACAAGATAAAATGGAGACAGTATAGCAACTTACTAGCAATACAACCTTAGGTCAATTAACTGCTGGGTCTGTTTTCCCATCCATTAAATGCTAACAATATCATTTCCCTCCTAGAGTTCTTATAAAGATTAACTTGGGGTAACATTAATAGGTCCTTAATAAATGTTGTTTACTTTCACTTCCTTCAACCAATGCCCTTTATATTTAAGCATTCTCACTTATACTGACCACTCTTCAGCATATTTTCAATTCAGATTGAAATCTCAGCCTAACAATCACTGCTGAATTGAAAGCATCTGCATAGCCTCATTTTTACCCAATGATGCAAATTTACTCATAGCAGTCTGGTTTTTATTGGAAAATTCCTGTTGTAAGAGTGCTTTCCTCTGAACTTGTTTTCTCTCTCTTCCCTCCCATGTAGCTGGTACGATCAGATAAGCCTGAGGTCTCTTCTTTCTCTCTCCCTCCGACTTACACTCTTATATGCCAATCTTAAAGATCTAGCAGGAACAGGGTGAACTCTAGAGAAAAAAGGAAAGGCAAAGCCAATTTTGTCCTCAGCCATAGGAAAAAATAGAGTTCTTATTCTTGAGCTCATATTTCCATGCCTCGCAATGTCATTAGCCTGGTAGGGCCCAGATGAAGGTGTAAACCAAAGGAAAGGGTACAAGGAAGCCATCTGGCCAGCTTCTAGTGTGGAGAGGAAAAAGACACGCGTAAGTTTACAGGTGGTCCCATTCTATTCAATAAGGGATTGCACTGAGAATACTGGGCCAAGGCCCTAGATAATAGTGTTCTTTTGCCTCAAGTATACACTACCTCACAACTTGAACTTGCAAGGGTGTTAGGAAACTGATCTATTATCTTTCATAACAACATTACGGTTTGAGTGGCAGGAGTTCAACAAGTGAACAGGATAGAAGGAATAATTTGAGAAAAGGAATAAACACATCCAGAAAATTGTAAGTCGTTTAGTATGTCTGGAGCTATTGGTGAATGCAGGAAACTCAGCTAATTAAAGACTTCTAGCTTTAATACTAGGTTACTGAGTCTCAAATTGAACTTTAGGCAATGGGGAAGGGGAGAGAGTGAGTTTTAAAAGAAGGGAATAATTATATTTGCAGGTTTTAAACATTATACCTTGGCAGCAGAAGCAAGAAGAACTACAATCCTGCAGCCTGTGGAATGAAAACCACATTCACAGATAGAGAGACAAAAAGAAAAGGCAGAGGACTATGTACCAGATGAAGGAAAAAGATAAAACCCCAGAAAAACAACTATATGAAGTGGAGATAGGCAACCTTCCAGGAAAAAATTTCAGAATAATGATAGTGAAGATGATCCAGGACCTTGAAAAAAGAATTGAGGCAAAGATTGAGAAGACGCAAGAAATGTTCAACAAAGACCTAGAAGTAAAGAATAAACACCTAGAAGAATTAAAGAACAAACAAACAGAGATTAACAATACAATAACTAAAATAAACATACACTACAAGGAATCAATAGCAGAATAACTGAGGCAGAAGAACGGATAAGTGACCTGGAAGACAGAATGGTGGAATTCACTGCTGTGGAACAGAATAAAGAAACAAGAATTAAAAGAAATGAAGACAGCCTAAGAGACCTCTAGGACAACATTAAAAGCACCAACACTCACATTATAGGGGTTCCAGAAAGAGAAGAGAGACGGAAAGCACCCAAGAAAATATTGGCAGTATTATAGTTGAAAACTTCCTAGCATGGGAAAGGAAATAGCCACCCAAGTCCAGGAAGTGCAGAGAATCCCAGGCAGGATAACCCCAAGGAGAAACACACGGAGACACAGAGTAAGCAAATTGACAAAAATTAAAGACAAAGAAAAATTATTAAAACTAACAAGGGAAAAATGACAAATAACATACCACAGAACTCCCAAAGGTTAAGAGCTGATTTCTCAGCAGAAACTCTACAAGCCAGAAGGGAGTGGCATGATATACTTAAAGTGATGAAAGGGAAGAACCTAAAACCAAGATTACTCTACCAGGTGACGATCTCATTCAGATTGAATGGAGAAACCAAAAGCTTTACAGACAAGCAAAAGCTAAGAGAATTCAGCACCACCAAACCAGCTCTACAACAAATGCTAAAGGAACTTCTCTAAGTGGGAAAAACAAGAGAAGGACCTACAAAAACAAACCCAAAACAATTAAGAAAATGGTCACAGGAACATACATATCGATAATTACCCTAAACATGAATGGATTAAATGCTCCAACCAAAAGACACAGGCTCACTGAATGGTTACAAAAACAAGACCCATATATATGCTGCCTACAAGAGACCCACTTCAGACCTAGGGACACATGCAGACTGAAAGTGAGGGGATGGAAAATGATATTCCATGCAAATGGAAATGAAAAGAAAGCTGGGGTAGCAAAACTCATATCAGATAAAATGGATTTTAAAACAAAGAATGTTACAAGAGACAAGGAAGGACACTACATAATGATCAAGGGATCAATCCAAGAAGATATAATAATTATAAATATATATGCACCCAACATAGGAGCACCTCGATACATAAGGCAACTGCTAACAGCTATAAAAGAGGAAATCGACAGTAACACAGTAATAGTGGGGGACTTGAACACCTCACTTACACCAACAAACAGATCATCTAGACAGAAAATTAATAAGGAAACACAAGCTTTAAATGACACAATAGACCAGATAGATTTAATTGATACTTATAGGACATTCCATCCAAAAACAGCAGACTACACTTTCTTTGCAAGTGCACACGGAAAATTCTCCAAGATAGATCATACCTTGGGTCACAAATCAAACCTCAGTAAATTTATGAAAATTGAAATCATATCAAGCATCTTTTCTGACCACAATGCTATGAGATTAGAAATCAATTACAGGGGAAAAAAAAACATAAAAAAACACAAACATATGGAGGCTACACAATATGTTATGAAATAACCAAGAGATCACTGAAGAAATCAAAGAGGAAATCAAAAAATACCTAGAAACAAATGACAATGGAGACACGACGACCCAAACCTATGGGATGCAGGAAAAGCAGTCCTAAGAGGGAAGTTTATAGCAATAAAATCCTACCTCTGGAAACAAGAAAAATCTCAAATTAACTAACCTTACACCTAAAGGAACAAGAGAAAGAAGAACAAATAAAACCCAAAGTTAGTAGAAGGAAAGAAATCATAAAGATCAGAGAAGAAAACAACGAAATAGGAACAAAGAAAACAATAGCAAAGGTCAATAAAACTAAAATCTGGTTCTTTGAGAAGATAAACAAATTGATAAACCTTTAGCCAGACTTATCAAGAAAAAGAGTGAGAGGACTCAAATCAATAAGATTAGAAGTGAAAAAAGAGAAGTTACAACAGACCACGGAAATACAAAGCATCATAAGAGACTACTACAAGCAATTCTTCACCAATAAAATGGACAACCTGGAAGAAATGGACAAATTCTTAGAAAAGCACAACCTTCGAAAATGAACCAGGAAGAAATAGAAAATATGAACAGACCAATCAAAAGCACTGAAATTGAAACTGTGATTAAAAATCTTCCAACAAAGAAAAGTCCAGGACCAGATGGCTTCACAGGTGAATTCTACCAAACATTTAGAGAAGAGCTGACACCCATCCTTCTCAAACTCTTCCAAAAAACTGCAGAGGAAGGAACACTCCCAAACTCATTCTATGAGGCCACCATCACCCTGATACAAAAACCAGACAAAGTTACTACAAAAAAAAAAAAAAATTACAGACCAATATCACTGATGAAAATAGATGCAAAAATCCTCAACAAAATACTAGCAATAAGAATCCAACAACACATTAAAAGGATCATATACCATAAGCAAGTGGGATTTATCCCAGGGACGCAAGGATTCTTCAATATATGCAAATCAATCAATGTGATACACCATATTAACAAACTGAAGAATAAAAACTCTATGATAATCTCAACAGATGCAGAAAAAGCTTTTGACAAAATTCAACACCCATTTATGATAAAAACACTCCAGAAAGTGGGTATAGAGGGAACCTACCTCAACATTATAATGGCCATATTGTTGGATTGGAAGAATCATTATTGTGAAACTGACTATGCTACCCAAAGCAATCTACAGATTCAATACAATCCCTATCAAATTACCCATGGCACTTTTTACAGAACTATAACAAAAATGTCTTAAAATTTGTATGGAGATGCAACAGACCCTGAAGAGCCAAAGCAACCTTGAGGGAAAAAAACAGAACGGAGGAATCAGACTCCCTGACTTCAGACTATACTACAAAACTACAGTAATCAAGACAATATGGTACTGACACAAAAACAGAAATATAGATCAACAGAACAGGATAGAAAGCCCAGAGATAAACCGACGCACCTATGGTCAACTAATCTATGACAAAGGAGGCAAGGATATACAAAGGAGAAAATACAGTCTCTTCAATAAATCGTGCTGCAAAAACCGGACAGCTACATGTAAAAGAATGATATCAGAACACTCCCTAAAACCATACACAAAAATAAACTCAAAATGGATTAAAGACCTAAATGTAAGACGTGACACTACAAAACTCTTAGAGGCAAACATAGGCAGAACACTATGACATAAATCACAGGAAGATCCTTTTTGACCCACCTCCTAAAGAAATGGAAATAAAACCAAAACTAAACAAATGGGACCTAATGAAACTTAAAAGCTTTTGCACAGCAAAGGAAACCATAAACAAGACAAAAAGACAACCTTCAGAATGAGAGAAAATATTTGCAAATGAATCAA